GAGGGGTTTGATTTTCGGATATTTATTAAAACGAAATATTTAATTATTTGATACAACAGACCTTTCAAAAACACAACAGAAACAATATAAGTCATTGTTCAATTTTTGTAAAAGAGTTTTTTGTTTCGGTCGTTAGAGTAATTATTCAATACCTTTTTCGAAATGAAATATTATTTTTGAAGTTTTGATTTTTACACCAACAATATAAGTCATTGTTTAATTTTTGGAAAAAAAATTTGGTCATTGCAATCGTAAGAGTAAATTGGACACAGTGTCACTGTCGTTTGTAATTGTCACTATTATCGAAAATTATTGATTTGCAATTATAAATTACACGTTTATATGTCATTGTCTAATTTCAACCTGAAGACATAAAAATAGATATTGATATCGGATAATTAGGGCTGATAATCGAATCGAGTTACTCAGGTTCAACTCGTTTTAAGCTCGGTTTATTTTTTAAGCTAGTCGAATTTAAATAATTTTTTAAATTCATTTAGAAAAACGAGCTTAAAAGCTTGACTCGAGTTCACAAAATTTGGCTTGTTGATATATAAAATAGTCAAGCTACTCAGTCTCGATTCGTTTTATAAAAGAGTTAAAGTTGAATAATTTTTTAAGTTTATTTAAAAAAACGAGATCAACAGATTCGGATCAATTATCAGCCTTATGGACGGTTACATCAAATTTTCAAAAAAATAATTTATGTGTTGAAATTTTATGGACGGTTACATCAAATTTTCAAAAAAATAATTTATGTGTTGAAATTCTAAGTAGGAGGAAAAAAAAAGAAGAGGAACGAGAATGATGCAACAATCGTCAGTGGTGCATCCATTCGTGTCCAACACTTTGACGCGCTGCAAAAGAACGCAAGTGGTGTTTGTTAAAATAAAACCAAACACTTAAAATTAAAATGAATGTATTAGATATTTAATAATAAGTTTATTTAATAATTAAAAAGAAAATATTTTAATATATTAAGTTTTTTTTTTAAAATAGAATAAAATATTAAATAAAAAATTCATTACTTTATTCTGAAAATTGAAATCTTTCAAAATGAGCAGTTTTTATCATTTTTTTAATATTTCACAACCCAACTAAAACTCTAAGTGACTTTTTTTTTGTCCAAAATCCTCCGATCTCCGTAGCCTTCATCGTCTTAGTCAAACACTTCTTCTCCTATCTTGTTCTGCTCACACACAGACAGAACACATAACCACAATTTTTCCGCACGAGTAATTATTGAATATAATAATGATATCATGTCAATAATAATAAAATATCAAGTGTGTAAAGTGAATTTCATTTAAATAATTATTTGCTTATATGAAAAAAGAGTGAGTAGTTATTTACTTACATGAAAGATTTGTTATTAACTTTTGTAGGGTCCATTTATTTATTTGTTTTTATACTATTGATCGATGATATCATGTCAATATTGTTACGTAATATTACCATTGTAATAAATATTTTTTTCCACATAAACAAAAATACATCATACGTACACACTTATATAATGAAACACACACAAAGATCATCCACACACACACACACACAGATTATCACAACTATTTTTAATGTGATTAAATTTTTGAAGTAGATTTAAGATCCTATTAAAATTGGAAAAATAAAGTCCCCCAAAGAATTTTGCGAAAATTTGATCAAAGTTTTCAAATTATATATAATCCCAACTGATATGTGACAAGACTATAATATTGAAAAAGTACCGGATCAAAACCTACAATTAAATAGATATTTATTATAATTTATTTGATTTGAAGTTGCGACTAAAAAATATCAGTTACAATATAAATGGGCCAAATTAGATTTTATGAAAATTGACAACTTTTAAGTGATTAATTTACCTTGAGTTAATTTTATTACCATATTTCTTAAATGTAGACTACAATGCGATAACAATGACGTATCTTAATTTTTTATTAAATAAATGCATGTTTCATAAATAGTTTCAAAGGAAAGAATGAAGGGGTAAAACTAAAAAATAATTTATTTTTAGATGTTAGCTTGATGTGCTAATCAAACAATTTGATTTAATTTAGTATTTAAATTTCTATGGATACTAAATAATCTATGAATAAAATTCGGAATTTAACACTTAAAATTCAACTTTCAGTATTGAAGTCTTAGTTTTATCAAACAATACCTAAACTTTTTCCATATACTCGGCAACTAAGATTGGCCTGCCTCAAAGTTAAAAAATTAGCACCCAAAAAATTTAATTTATATTACAACCAAGACAAGTGGAAATATATTAATGAAATAAAAAAAATGTACAAATTAACGACAATAATTGCAAACGGCGAATCAAAGATAAGACAAAAAGTAGAGAAGTATCAAATTTGATGTGAAAGTATTGACAATAGTGAAGAGAGAAAAGGGGATAAGACATATAGAGATAGACACGAATTCAAGACCCATACCAGAGACTTGGATATAATTCGTTCAAATAACTGAGGTCTTATCCTATTAAATAGCCACACTTTTGCGCCCAAGGAATTTTAAACCCCTGACCTCCCACTGGAAAGCCAGAGACTCTGGCCAACTGAGCTATCCCAGTTGGTTCTCTCCTTGTGTTATTAGTCTGAGATAAACATCCAATTCTGTTAACAGAAATAACAAAAAGACCTTAATGCCCTCATTATCTCTTCTTTTTTCCTTCTCGTTTCACAACAATGGCCGCCTTTCTGTGTGTCTCTCTAAGCTTTAATCAAGTATTTTTAATCATATATATAATTTTTTACCTCTTTATCTTTCTGTCTCTCTAAGAGAAAGTCACACGTAGAGGGGTGACTGGTGAAGGTTTTGCGCAGAGAGAGAGAGATTTTTTTTAAAATTTTAAGGACATTTTTGACCTTTCAATTTTTTTAAAATTTAAGGATAATCTCGAGTTAAGCTCATGTATGACAAAATCCATTCAAATTAATGAAATTTGTAATGGTCATAGTTCTCATGTTAGTCCATAACATAAGGGAGTTATGTACATATTTTAAAACGATAAGCGGGTGATGTGTAAAATAGCCAAACCAGGGGGGTTAATTTTTTTTTTTTGCCCAAATGTAAAATAATAAATGAAATGGTGAAAGTTATAAAGATAAGGTTAGGTTGACGTGTGTATTTTTTAAAGTACAAGCATATAAACTTCTTACATAACACAATCCTAGTTATTTATTTTTTATTTGATCGGCAGAACCTAATTAAATTCAACAAAAGGCTATAAGCATAACAGCCAAAGATCAAGCATTTTGTCAGTAAGTTTTTGTTTCATTTCTTCAAAAAAAGAATATATATACCGGCCATGAGGCACTTAGACATCATTATATAAGTCAAACATTATGTGATGCTTTCCTTGAACCTTTGATGTATACAAGTGATTCTCCCTTCGGCTGCTTGTGACCCATTAACAATCTGGTAAAGACTACGATATTGATGACGGTATCATATCGAATATAACTTGTAAAAAATATGATTGGTTCTCAAACATTACAGTTGATCATGTAAATAATGTAACTTTCAAAAGTTAAGTTATAATTTTTAAGGTCAAATTATAACTCGATTCAATTGAATTCGATGATTGCTCATGAAAACCATAATCGATAATAACCTTCTATCAATCAGTTGTAATTTTACCTTTCAAAAAGTATACTATTACCACTAAAAGTAGTAACTTGGCCTTTCTCAATGTATTCCTGAACTACTTATTTTGTCTAATTGATTGGTATCATTGCTAAAACGATACAAATTAGTATAAAATCGATAATATTATACAAGTCCAAAACATTAAATATATAAAATGTTTCACATTCGAGAACTTTATATTATATTTTTTAATATAGAAAAACTAACAATAACTCTGTCTAAAGACATTTGCAATACTAAAAATTGAACATTGATTGCATAATATTTATATTTTAAATAGTAATTTTTTTTGGATTACACAATTTAAAATTAGTTTGAACATATAGAAAAGAGTAATACTATTAGGACCTAAAAAATTGATATAATTTAATGACCTAATGACGTGGTAATAACATTGTCTAATAGTATTGTTGTGGCTGTAAATAGTGGACTTCTTCGTTGTGATTTTATTACTTGACACATTATTATGTCATCAAATTAGGTCCCACAAAAAATAAGAGAGAGGTAGTGGAGAGAGGAAAGAGAGGTAGATGCGGATTAATGGAATTGTTTGACATTGAAGAGTGTGTTGGTTGAGTTATTTGGTATTAAGAGTTGTGTAGAAAAGATGATATTTTTAATAAAAAAAATTGGGATGAATTTTGTACAAATTGATCAAATTAGATGGATATTAGATCAATTTGGACAATTATTGCATTTTTATAAATTGAATTCAACTTCTTAGATATAATATTAGATATATATAATCCACTACAAAATAAAACATTTTATTTTGTTCTTTTCAACTGTATTTCTCTCACTATTTAGACTTCTTTTGTTATAGTTGTCTTCACAATAGTGTTGTTAATATTTACTTGCATTTCTCCATTTCTATTTGCATACTCTTTATTTTGTGTAGCTGTTCCTCGATCAATCCTCCCCAATTTTTAGTATGGACAAGTAATTTTCAAGGCAGAGGCACATTAGGATCATCATTGTAGAATAAAACCTAGATATCGGCAATAAACTAGAGACATATTCAGCAATAACTGCAACTGTCTATTAAACCCAAGAGTCGTTAATGCAAGTTGAGTCCAATACGTTCAAGTTTACGAGCGTGTAAAACTAATTTCACACTACTGAGTTATCTATCCGGTTAATCCACCGCCCCCACCCACACCCAAGTTAATAGTAATACAACTTAATTTATGGTATATTAAATTACAAATAGATAGAACAACAACTACGAAACAACAACTATATACCAAAAAATGCTCTACATCCGGCAACTTGAACAAATTAAACATGAATTGGAGTATATAAATAGCAGCACCACTCTTCCCTTCATCTTCCAAGATCGAACAATGGCGAGATTTGTATTACTTTGCTTCTTTCTCCTTTGCCTTGTCGGATCTATTCACTGTGATGACTCAGGTTTTGATTTCAAGGAGTCACTCGACTCCCTGGGATCACCGTTGTTAGACAGTTTTGCATTTGATACGTCTACCGGGTTACCTCCATATATGGGTCCTCAAGTTGGGCTAAAAGAACAGAATAAGATTACAACTTTGCCTGGACAGCCGGATGGAATAAACTTTGATCAATATTCGGGATATGTTACGATAGAGGCTGATGCAGAACGTGCATTGTTTTACTATTTTGTTGAGTCTCCTCAAAACTCTTCTACTAAGCCACTTGTGCTGTGGCTAAATGGAGGTATAATACGTTTACACATTTTCTTAACTCATCACGTGTCAAGTTTTTTGGATATTGTTGGCATTTTTTTTTTAACATCGATCAATGGAATTGAAAACAAGTGATAACTTTTGTAATCTTTCTTAACATCAATTGACCATATGATCTATTTGGTAGCTTCTCCAATAGGGATGGTAATCCTCTATAGACTGTGGAGGCCAAACCCCGGGGTGCCAAGGAAAAGGGAGAATAGAATCGGATGTTAAACCAACTAAAAGTGATATGTAGAATCTTAGATTGAATTATTCAAATTTCTTATTAAAAAATTACCATCTAAACCCTAAACCCTAAATCATAAATCCTTGTTTCATATTGTTGTTGCATTTTCATCGATAATCAATCACTAATGTTATGGTTTGGGCAGCGCCCGGCTGTTCTGCATTTGGACTTGGAGCATTGATGGAGGTCGGGCCATTTAGAGTTGGCAAAGATGGCAAAACTCTGTATCAAAATGAATATGCATGGACTGATGGTGAGCTCTTCGAGTTTCCTATAAATCTTATTATGAGTACTTCAAACTTCAAACTATTCAATATGCTAACTAATATAATGAATTTAATATTTGAACTTCTCTTAGTTGCCAATGTCATCTTCCTTGAAACTCCTGCTGGTGCTGGATTTTCGTACTCAAATAGAACAACAAATTACAAGCTGAGTGGAGACAACGTTATTGTGCGGGATTCATATACCTTCTTAGTTAATTGGTTCGAAAGATTTTCCGAATACAAGACTAGAGACTTCTTTATCGTAACAGAGGGCTATGCAGGCCATTACGCACCCAAGCTTGCTCAGCTAATACTTGATAACAACAAGCATACAAGTCAAGCCACAATCAATTTGAGAGGGATTGTTGTAAGTTTCCATACATACATGTAAACTAAAGGGAGAATCGCACTATGCATATTGACAGATTTAAGAATTATCACTTTATACCTTCAAAGATCCAATTATTGCAATAAGGCCATGTTGTTAGCTGTTGTTGCTCATTCCATCAAAAAACAACCCCACTGACAAGGATGTGATGAGTAACGGAAGCTAATAAAAAGGTCACATTGCAACACTTTTAATATATAGAGGATACAATGAAAAAAACTTAATATTTGAGGGTGCAAAGTGAGAACTTTTAAATTGTTTGAGGTGCAAAATACAATTCACCCTAAACTAAATAGGACCTTTTTTTTCTTTCCCACTGTCTAACATTGTCTAGCCAAATATAGTATGTCACTTATACATGTTTTTATGCTATTATGTTTATTCTGTGTACTGCTATGACACTAATATGAGAAGGTTTTGATTTAAAATTAGATGGGAAATCCATACATCGACTATGAAACACTCATCCAAGGAGTGGTGGATTATTACTGGGCGCATGCCCTCATTTCAGATGAGATATACACAGCACTTATATCGAACTGCAATTTTTCTTCGCCAACTGCTATATCCAAAATTTGTATGGGATTACTTGAGCAATCAGATATTGCCGCTGGTAATATCTCTAGCAGGAACATATATGCCGCCCCATGCAATTCTTCCTCAAACCCTACCATTGTGAGTATAACTCTGTGGATTGTGCAAATCCTTGGTGAAAATCTAAGTTTACTGGTTCCTTTTTTGCATTAATGTCTTAATCTTGACTTTTAACGTTGACAAAAAGGTCCCAGAATTTGATCCCTGCTCGAAAAGTTATGTACTCTCCTATTTAAATGTTCCTGAAGTTCAGACAGCTCTCCATGCAAATGTTAAACAATGGGAGTTCTGCAAGTACGTACTATCCCACACTCATCTTAACATTTCTATTATGCTTCAAAAATGTTAGGTTTCTGTCAATTTCACTCACCTGATGTTATTTGTTTATCTCTCTTGCCTTTTTTTTGGATGTGTTTGAAAATAGTATCGAGATCTTTAGACAGTTGAAAGATGAAGCATTAACCGTGTTGCCTATCATTCAAGGGTTGATGGCAAGTGGAATTCCAGTATGGATATATAGGTAAGTGGTTATCCGAAATACAATCAAGACGACTTGAAACTTTCTATCGAGACCTATCAATAAAAAAAAAATCAAGAAGAAGATTTATTAATTTCTTGACTTGAACTTACAGAATCTAATTTGCAGTGGTGATGTAAATGCTGAAGACCCAGTAACATCAACTAGATATGCCATAAAAAAGTTGGAGACTTCCGTAAAGACTCCGTGGTACCCTTGGTATGTCAAAGAAGAGGTAATGCCTTGTAATCATAACTAATTTCACTCAATAATAAAACACACAACGTTTATGGGTGAGGACTACAATTATAAATAATGGATTTCACTTGTATTAATGATAGGTGATCTACCATTAAGTAAAATTGAGAAAACATGTGATAAATAAGATCTCAATATTATTTTACATAGTCTAATTAAGTGGTTTGCTTATACACAGGTCGGTGGTTACGTAGTTGAATATCAAAATTTGACATTTGTTACTATTAGAGGAGCTGGACATCTTGCACCTAGCGATCAACCGGTTCGGTCCCTCGTGGTCTTCTCGTCGTTCCTAGATGGGAAGCTACCCCCTCCATATTCAAGCACAAGCACTGGAGTTTAAGAACTAATTGTGGGATGATAGTTCCAGCTACAACAATATGAAATGCTTAATAGTTTCCTTTGATTTTCTCTTTGAATGAAAAATGCAACTATATTATCAAATTAAAACTATTTATCGCGGATTAAATTGAAGTTTTTCGCTGTGATTTTGACAACGGTATATTAATGGTTGGAATCGAACACTAGTTCTACAAAGTATTACAATAAATTAAATCAAAAAACTGAACAAATAGGGAGAAGATATACACAACAACAAGCAAGCACAATAACAAAGAGGATGGGAAAAGAAAAAGATCAAAAAACTGAAAATAAAGAAGGTGAAAGAGACATACCAAAAATCTACGAATTTAGATTCCCTCCAAACGAATTTGGATCACAGTTTATGTAACATTCTTTTTGTAAGGATGGTAATTAGGGTGTTAAAATATAACACAATTCATTAACACGACACGAGATAAAGGGTTTGTATTTTTTTTTTAGGGTTAATCTCATTTTGCACCTTAAAAGATTGTTCAAATCTCAATTTGCACCCTCAAAGATCAAAAATCTTAATTTGCACCTTTAAAGATAGAAATTTGTATCAATGTGCATCCCCAAAGATAAAAAATTTCAATTTGCACCCTCAAAGATAGAAATTTGTATCAATGTGCACCTAAAATTAAATTGATAAATTATACTTAAATCCCCTCATGTTTGTCACTGAATCATTTGAACTCCTTCACATTTAGAATATTCCCCTTACATCTCATGACGTTTGTGCATGTGTAACACATAACAACTTTTCGTTAATATAATCGTTAAAAAATATGATTTTATCCTAATAAAAAATTATAATTTTATATTACCTTTTATTTTGTGGATTCGATATACTCTAAAGTTGAAAATCAAGCTTACCATTTGAATGTCTAATAAAATGTAGATATTTATATAAAAGGTAATATGAAAAATATTATATAAATATTTACATTTTGTTAGACATTTAAATGGTAAACTAGATTTTGAACTTTAGAATATATTGAACCCATAAAATAAAGGGTAATATGAAATTATAATTTTTTATTAGGATAAAATTATATTTTTTAACGGTTATATTAATAGATATCAATGAAAATGGGTTACGTGTTATACGTGCACAAATGTCATAAGATGTAGGAGTAATATTCTAAATGTGAAGAGGTCTAAATGATTAAGTGACAAGTATGAGGGGATCTAGGTATAATTTATCAATTTAATTTTAGGTGCACATTGATACAAATTTCTATCTTTGAGGGTATAAATTAAGATTTTTTATCTTTAGGTGCAAATTGATATAAATTTCTATCTTTGAGGATGTAAATTGAGATTTTTGATCTTTGGGGGTGCACATTGATACAAATTTCTATCTTTGAGGGTGTAAATTAAGATTTTTGATTTTGCAAATTGAGATTTGAACAATCTTTCGGGGTACAAAATGAGATTAACCTTTTTTTTAAGTCACCCGTTTCTTAAATTAGTGGATCTGATATGACATGATTAATAAACAAATTGAATATGTGTGAAGTAATTGAAAGAAATATATGACACGATTTATTTAACACGAATTAATAAATGGATCAAGTATAAGTAGAATATTTTTTGATATGAATCCGCTAAGATCCGACATAAATACTTTTCATCCGACACGATTGAGAGGCGTAATGGTAACCATCAAAACCTCACTTCCACTTGAGACTTGTATTTTGTAAGGTTAATCACTGTTGACTATCTTTTTTTTTTTTTCCGAAGGTAAATTGTATTAAAACAAGAAACAAGGGTAATCACCCACAAAATGTATAATGAAATCACATAAGACTCAAAGACAAACATCAAAAACTCAAAAGTCAATGCTCAAAATATAAGCCCGTAAAAGATGCCCTGAATGAGAGCATCTCTCATGAACTTGTTGACAAAAGAATACAATGGCAGACAAAAACAAAGCACGAAACCAATTCATCAAAGAGGCAGTACACAGGGAGGTTCCAACTATGCAGTACCTCCGAGAGAGATCTTCTCCCAAAACTTGCCTGTAGCTTTCTTGCAAGCAGCTGTTGCCTCAAGCATTCTGCTTCCGATTGCCAAAGCATGACTTCGGGGAGTAGGACTCAGCAATTGATGCTCCTCAGTAGAATCCTGACTCAAAGGAACAGAGAACACACTCTTTTCTATCATAAGGGCGAATGGTAATTTCTCCCTTACTAGATTAATTTTATTTTATTTTTTTATCAATTCAAAGATTAAAGTCTGCTTTACAATATTTTTTTAAATGGAAGTAATGCACCTCTTTTTTATTCTTTTTCCACAAATTTATGCTCCAAATTGGGAGGAAAAAAGGAATTGAAAGAAAATCAGATGGTAATGTGAAATTTAGGGCCTGCTTCGTTTATATCCGTAAAATAATTTTCTTGTTTTCGAATATAAAAAATAGAAGAAAACTTTGGACATCAGAATTTTGTATCTAGTTTTTCAAAAATTAAGAAGAAAAAGTCTGAATTACAGAGACACTAATTTCAAAAAATTGAAAACACAAGATATAATCCATTGAGCACTTAAAGACATCATTTAAAATATTTTTTTCTCTCTCTCTCGTACATGTCTTTCACTCCACTTCCAAAGCTAGCAAAATCGATTCCTTCAAACCCCTTAGTCTCGTTGGCAGCTCTGGCCCTTCAAGTGGCACAAGCTGACGAGAAGAGGTCTGATCGACTTCTAACAAGTTCTTGAAGAATGCTCTTTTCATGTGCTTTGTGTTTTCTCGTCAATTGATTTTACATATTTTTTTAAGGTTGACTTTCTCCTTATATATGACCCTGTATAAACTAGAAATTTAGAATCTATGTTGTTGCCTTTATTTTGCCTCCTTCACAATGAGGAGAAGAATGACATATTTGCTCCATGTTCAATTTTTGAAGATAATTTTTTGTTGTTTGAAATCTGTCCATGGGCATTCAATAATTGTCTTTTATCCTTGAGTTTTATTTCTTTCTTTTTTTCTTTTTTTTTTGTTAATTACTTAGGTTAATTTATAGCATCAAGTAATGCAATGTTAAAAGTATTGTGAGTAAACTTTTTTCGTCCACATATCTATATAATAAAGAAACTTACAATTCAAATTTCAAAAGATAAACAAAATGACTTTTGCTATTCGCGATTTAGATCGCTTTAAATTTTACTTTAAAGTTAATCTAACGGCTAATATTAACACCCTAAATTCAATAGGAAAAATAAGCCTCTAAGGATATATTTGTAGTGATTTTTTAAAATTACTTCAAAAAATTATTTTTCATAAATATTTTTTTAAAAAAAATTAGTATTTGAAATCGCACCACCACTACCTCTACCACCACTGCCACCACTACCGTCGCCGTCACCCCCACCGCCATCGCCACCAACACCGCCATCATCACTGTTGTCGTCGTCACCACCACCATTATCACCGCCGCCCTCGCCGCCACCACAGTCATTGCCACCAACTATATCTATCATCGTCTCCTACCACTAGCACTGCCACCCACCACCTCTCACCCCCACTACAAATTGATGCTTAAATTTCTTTATCTCTTCTCTATATTTGTAATTTAATTTTAAATAAAATACAAATATATTTATTATTTATCATTTTTTTATTACTCTGTGTTTTCAGACACATACAATAACTAATTATATAATATTGGCTGAGAAAAAAAATCATGGCAACACACCCTACACCTGCCCTCACCCTCGTGCTCTTTCTCAAAGGATTTTTTCCAAAGAGTCAATTCAAATTATATCCCATATTTTAATTACTTGTTGGATCATTATCTAAACATGTTTTACTATCTTTAGTCTAATAAAATTATTTTCGAAATTATATAACCAAAAAAATTCTGAAACACTACCCTTTTTTAAAAACATATCCAAACAGACACTTACATTTTTTAAGGCACATTACAACACTTGCCATTTGTTACCATTAGAGGAGCTATTGCTGAAGTATAAATATTTAAAGTTACACATTATTTGTCAGTTTAAATTTTTGAAGTAGATGATTCTTTAATAAAGTATCAAAACAGGAGGTCTTGTGTTTGAATCTCACCGTTACTCTAATTATTAAAAAATTACTATGTGGTCTTCTCTTCATTCATAAGTGGCGGCTTCTCCCTATATATCTATAATATAAAAGAAGATACACGTTAATAGACTTATCTGATGGTCTAAAATAGACTCATTTAACGACCATCAACATCTCTTTCAAAATCATTCTTATTGAATTTTTCCTCCACTCTAAATCTGTGACTTCTCACTTCTATAATACCATACTTTCAGGCACCGGTCCCATATTTAGAGTACAAGCACAGCAGTTTATGGACTACTTAAAGGGGATGGAAGTTACAACTATTTGCTCATTTAACATAAAGTGCAACTATAATATCTAATAATTAAAAACTACATTTTGTGCCAGTTATATTCAATGCCTCGACACATATTGTCCAGTTATTCGTTTAAGCTAGACAGATGTGATTTTAGAAGGATCTACATTCAATCTCAATTACACTTTTACCTAATTTTATTAAACGGTGGATAACGGACCAACTAATAAATAGTGGGACCCTTTGTATTATAATAGATGATTTATGATTAATTAAATTGAGTGAAAATGAAATTAAAAGGATCTCATTCTGTTTTTGAATGCTCCACATAATCGTGACAATGCATATATAGCTATGTAACAAGTGTAATTTGTTAAAATAAACTTAATTTTCTCTTAATGTAACATCTACAGAAAATTTAACATAACTGAATATGAAATATTGTATGTTAAAATTGACGAATCTTCACCCAAAATTGAAAATCTTGGGTGATTGTAACCATCAACCAATTGAAAAACTACCTACTCAAGAGAAATCCCGCATTATGTATCAACGAAACTAAGATTTTCAGTGTAAACGTAAAGACATTGTAATTAAAGTACATTTTTTTTTTAAATTGACACAACCCTTAATTTGA